GTTGCTCCGTGGTTCGGTTCCATTGCTCCTTGGCTTCATGCTTGGGAGTTCGGCACCATTCCTTCGTTCAGTGGCCAAGGCTTTGAACTTCGTGTTCCACACCACATGTCCTATGGACACGTGGCATATGACACATGGCATCTGTCACATGGCACAAAGAGGGTTTAGGTTCCGCTTCATGGTGTTATCCTATGGTAAATCACTATAGGATAAAGGGTCAAAACCACGTGCCCACACTCCATCTCAGGCACTTTGGGCCAAAGTTATTTGAATAACCTCAGCTCCTTAGGCCATTAAAGTGCCCGAGGTAGCCAACCAAAGCTCAACCTTGGGCACTTGAGTCCCAAGGGGCTGAAGTTATTCAAATAACCTCAACCCCTTGGGCAGCTAAAGTGTCCGAGGTGGCCAACCCAAGCTTGACCTCAGGCACTTTAGTGGCCCAGAGGACTGAGGTTATTTGAATAACTCAGGCGGCCAAAGTGCTTATGATGGCTCAACCTTGGGCACTTTAGTGGCCCAAGGGGCCACCTTAGCCCCTTGGGAGGCCAAAGTGCCCAAGGTGGCTGGCTTGAACTTGACTTTAGGCACTTTGGTGGTTCGAAGGGCTAAGGTTATTTGAATAACTTCAACCCTTTAGGCCACCAAAGTGCCTGAGGTGGCCAGCCTAAGCTCAACCTTAGACACTTTGGTGGCCTAGAGGGTGGAATTTATTTAAATAACCTTAGCCCCCTAGGCAGCTAAAGTGCTTAAGCTTGACCTCAAGTACTTTAGTGGTTTGAGGGGCTATTAAGTTTGCCATAACCTTAATGTTTTAAAATTTATAATATTTGTATTAAACTATAATTGAAACTTGAGCTCAACTCTTCAACTCTTGAGCTCAAATATGGTTTACCCTCAGCATAGCCAACCAATCTGAATTATAATCTAGATGCTAACTAATGGAGTACTTGTATCTTTATGTTAGACTATTAGTATACTAAAATATTGTTAGACCATGTTTAACTCTATTTTGCATGTTGGTCTTGATGTTGGGATACTTAGTGTAAGCTCCACGGATTCCCAAATCACTCTCAATCCCCCTCCCCGGGTTAGACTGGACTTAAGGTTCGGCTACACTCCCCGCAAGCACAAGCAGCCAAGCACACCAAACTTCCAGGTTCCTAACATCCTTTGGTACCACAAGACTTGATCATGGGACCCTCTAAATCCCAAGTCTTGAGTGCAACACTTGCTTCGGGACGCCGGGGTGAAACACCGTGGCCTAACGGCCCGGTATGGGTACCTTTATCCCCCCACTTCCATCCCGAAGGAAGGCCCAAGCCCCTAGGAAGGGCGAGGACCAATGAGCCGCATGGTACTCAAGTGGGGCACCACTCCACAAGACCCTTAACCGATTGGAAAAAGGGGTGCACTCTTATTCATGAGCCCTTTCCCTCTATATTTGAACCCCATAGATCGTCTCTCGAGTCGTTTCCTTTGGTTGCTTACACTTAGGTGTTTTAAGATTATCCTCAAGCATACAACAAAAGAACGAAGGAACTAGAGTACAAAATGACTCCTAAATAGTGAGTTGAAGGAGTGTTTAGTAGCCCAACACCCTAAAACTTAAGTTCCACTCTATTGCCTTTACACATGTGGCTAAGGGTTTATATTTCACTTCATAGTTATCCCGTGGTAAATTATCATAGGGTAAAAAATGAAAACCACATATGCTACATTTTAACACTTTATGTGCTTATTGAAATCTCTAATCATAGGAAAGCTATTATCTCTTAGTCATATCACCTACTTCTCTCTTGATATTTTTATTTGTGAAAAGGGTGTGACTATGTAAACAACTCTAACTACTTGTTTATAATAGTCTATTTAAACCTTACTAACGAGTTTGGCTTGTTTGCTAAGGGGTGGCTTCTCTCTCTATATCACTTATAAACAAAGGCATATCATTTTTATAACTTGAATGACAACTAGAACAACAAAAGCAGCTGACTCCATAGTTCACTTCCTTCTTATTTATAATCAGATTATATGAGTGTTAGCACATTTTTTGTAAATAAAGATATAATCTTATAACTCATTTAAGTTGGTGTATATCACACAAAATATGAATATCGTGAATTTTTTTCTAGTTGTTTTGTTAGTAATGGTCTAAGCTAGAATATGCATTGACAAGGATATCAATGTGATACATTTTATTTCTTTCACTTTAAACCAATTGGAAAAGGGGCAATTGCTTAATAAAAGAGCCCTTAGTGGCTATTTTATCCCCATTTATCCTCCAAAGTTTTAAAGATCTATAGTAACAATTTATTCAAATCTCATCCCATGATCACATACTTTACATTCACCCCCCTTTTAGAAATGTCAATATCCTCATTAACCATTAACTAACAACTTCTATTAAGCTAAGGGGAATAAATACCTTCATTTCTACACTAAATCTATTCCTTCAATTGTGTAAATTAGTTATTCTATGTATTAGAACTAATCATCCACCCATACTGCAATCTCATGGTGGGTCTCTTTATCTATGGACGCCTACAAAATGAAAGGATGTATTCATATATGTGCAATATATATGATTTCAATTTTAAGAGTAAGAATATATCTTACTCAAGGGTATATTATATTTTAAATAGCCACTGAATCAAACCCCTACCATTTGCTCCAATACCATATATGATGCACTTTATCTTTCTCCCTTTAAACTAATTATAATTGTTTAATGAAAAATCCTATAGTAATTATTTTATCTCCATTTATGTCCCAAGGTTCTAAAGATCCATATGATACAAATTTCATCCTATGATTACAATGTTCCAAATGTATAGTAGAGATGGTGGGTAAATTGGTTATAGCCAATCAACCAAAGACATATTTAGTTCTTCATTGGGTGTGTTTATCTTTACTTTTTATCTAACTTGGATATAAGTTCAAATTCCATACCATATTAATTAGTGGAGTACCTATATCCTTGTGTTAACCTACTGTATATTGAAATAGCGCCAGACTCATTTAGCTTTATTTTATGTATTGGTATTAACATTAACATTGGGAAGTTGGAAGTTCTAGGACTATTTTAATGTTATTTTGTACTTTTATTTTTTCACTCCTTGTAACACTTGGGAGTTTGGCTTCATCCCTTTATTTAATGGTTCAAAGCTTTGGAACTTAAGTCTCACTCATTACCCTTAACACATGTGTTTAAAGGTTAGATTTCACTCCATGATTATTCTATGGTATTTCACTATAAGGTATAAAGTCAAAACCACATGTATTAAAAGTAATTTTGCCCAGTATTTAGACTTAAAAAAAAGATAGGGTAGAGGAAAGAAGTAAAGCAATACTAGAAAATAACACTTTAGCACAAGTGCTATTGGAGAATCATATACCATCAAACAACATTACCCACCATGGCCCACTATAAAAAGAGATAAGAAAATTATCATACACTACAATAGTTATACTATACAATTATTTATTGTATATATAAGTAATGACTATATGTGTTCTAGCTTATTAGTGGTTTACCACTAAGTTTATGGTTATATTGCATACCACACAACATTACCCACCATGGCCTACTATAAAAAGAGATAAGAAAATTATCATACACTACAATAGTTATACTATACAATTATTTATTGTATATATAAGAAATGACTATATGTGTTCTAGCTTATTAGTGGTTTACCACTAAGTTTATGGTTATATTGCATACCACACAACAAGGTTATCATTATTTTAAAGTGTCTCACCATGCAAGAAATCGTAAGTGAGATAACTTAGGAAATTCGGCCCTTGGTTGCATGACACCCTTAACTTGCATCTTATCATTAGCCACTATGATCCTACAAAGAAAATTTAAATTGTGTAAACCATGACAAAAAAAAATACTTACTTGGAAAAGTTTGTGCACTCAGCACTTGCAACTTGTTCTATCATAGGCATAGGTGGTGTTTGCATCTCCTTCACTACCACACCAGTCTCCATAGAAATAGATGGTGCAGTAACATGTAATAGATTGAGTGGTAAAGGCCTCTGTACCACTTGAGATGCAATTGTAGAAGGAAAAGCCCAAATATGCATGTTATCTGGATTTGGGGAGTAAAGCACAATATAATCATCAACCTTTAGCCCACGATTATCACAATAGTACAGCCAATCCTTGCCTCCTAGGAATTCCCTCCTCCCACCCCATCGGAGTGTAAATGTTTTTCCTAAAGAAAAAGAAGAACCCATTAATGATATCAAAATTTATATGGAATTACATACCATTATCACCACAAGTCACTTCCACAATGTGCTTAGTATGTCCAAACATTGCAAGCCCCCAACTTGGCTTCACACTCTACAATAAAAGGCAAGAAATAAAAGAATATAAACTTGAAAATAGCTTACTAGAATGGGGCTTTGACAAAAGTGCGTCTTTGTAACCTTCACTATCAATGCATCATCACCAAGAAACTGTGCAAATTGCTCAGCTAAATGTTTATGCCCTTTGCAATGATACCCTTCTGATATCATTGCTACCAACAAAAAAGTGGTAGAGGTGTAAGATAGTTATGCACACAAACCACTTTAACTATACCTGTGAACTGGTTTGCCATTGATATTTTTTATTGCAATCTCTTCCTGCACCAAAACAATGGCTACTCCACACTGGTTGCCCTATCCCACACATGCACTCACTGCTGCCAAAAAGATGCCTTGCAACCTCAATTGGCAACCCTGCCAAAATTGCAGCCTCTGCAATTGCTCGCCTTACTCTTCTACAATCAAACCCTACACTACTAACCCTTTTTTAACCTTTTCCACAATCAATCAACCCCTAACCCATTATAAAATACATTTTCAAAGTCATTGAAGTGATATGCCATCTGACATGTCGTATATGGACCATTTTTTCTATAGATTACATTCCCAATATATGCATCTAATTAGCAATCAACTACTTTTGGCGAGTCAAGAGCATAACGGGATCAGGGCTGGACCCAGGAAACAAAAAATCAAGCTTTGTAAAGCTTTATTATTCCGATTTCCGACTAGGCATGCTCTTCCGGACCCGAGCTTTGACAGGGAGGATTTAGACGAGACTCAACGATGCCAAGATGTGGAATGCGGTGATATCAAGTGAAGAATTCACGGGGAAAGTTTATCGTGCTCCCGAGCTTTGCTCCAGACTCGAGCTCGATCAATGAGAGCGAGGTTTTGGTTGCCAAACCACTGCTCGAGCTGGAGAGATATCGCCAGGGATCATGACGAGAATGAAAACACCTATAAAGTTCGAGTTCTAGTCCTTCAGCTCAATCAAAACAGAGACTTCAAAGTTATCCCACAAAACTCGAACTTTGTAGGTACCTTTCTGGGATGAGCTCAAGGAAATCAGTGAAAGCTGGGAGCGCTAGTCTGCCACAGATTGTACAGGGAATTTCCTTTCCAAGTCGCTTCAAGCCTGAAAGACATTTTCTAAAGCTTGGGACATTCGAAAGAATAAATAATGTAAGTCTCGTACCTCAATCAAACGTCGTTAGCTTTCTTCCTGTATTTCTCGCTTTTCTTCACCTTCCTCTTCTTCCTTCGCCGCTTGTCCTTCATGGTTTTCTTCTTGGTGCCCGCTTGCATCGCTCGGTTGGAGACTTGGATCCTATCTTTGAGTAACAATCGGCTGATCACGTAGCAGTACATCGGCCAGTCGGTGCGCCGGAGATAAATCATGAGCTTTCTCCGCCTCTGGACCATTGTGTTCATGCTTCGACGCGAAGGGACGTCCTGCATTTCCAGATTTCTTAGCTTGCGTCCTTCGAGATAATAAATCAAACAAGCTTGCCTTTTTGTGTGTCATAAGATGCTTGGAAAGGAAGCTCATTTTCTTCGTCAGCGCCGCACTTCGGAGTAAAACAAAGGCACGATGAATAAGTGAAGAAACCAGAAAAGGAGAATAGAAAACACTCACTCTGGACTCCAGAGGAACCACAGTCGGCATCATGCAGCTTAAACTCGTTTCTCACTTTCTGTAGCTCGATCTTTTGAAACTCGGCCGCGGACATATTCTCCGGAGCAAGATACTGCAAGAGGCAGGAAAAAGGAGCAAGATAAAAACGAGACAAAAAGGAAAACAAAACCTTCTCCAAAAGATGATCTTTTGGAGGAACAGGCTTGAGACTCGGGCCCGTGACATCAGCAAACTTGTTCAAAATGCCCATCTTCTTCACTGCAAATAACGAAGAGCATAGTCAAAATTCCTGAAGGCAAGGAAAAAAAGAAGGTACACGCAACATCTTGAGCGGCGCTGGTAGTTCCTTCTTTCGGTGGCAATTGAGGAGCCTTGCTCTTGATCTTGGACAAATCGAGCTTGAATCCCTTGAGACCCCCATCGCCAGGCGTTGTTCTAGTGCCAGGACTATCAGCGAACAGCTTGCTGAGATCAATCTTGAGCTTTTCACTGTCGATCGTCCCTCCCTCCCGCTTGGGGGGCGTGAGATCCAGCTTGAACTGGCTCTTGTCCGCCACAGTATTCCCAAACAGCTTCTTGAAATCGATCGGCTCGCCCGCCCCTTCCTTCTTCTCCTGTGGCCTACTCACCGATTTGAAGAGCGCATCAAAATCTATCCCGCCCTTGCGGCCCCCGCCCTTGGAATCGCCTCCGCCGCCTCCCGTGCCAGTCGCCAGGAGCCTCGCATTGCACGGTACGAGCAAACGCTCCCTGCATTTCTTCAAGCTCAGCATTGCCCTGGCATGCTAAAACCCTAACCCTGGAACCTCCACCTTAGTTTTCTCTCCGGTCCAATTAAAGAGCTCGATCAAAGAAATCTAAAGGCCTACTTAATCTTTAAGAAAATAGTACATCATAATTTTCTCTAGTTATCGAAGGGACCACTAGAAAACCAAAAAACCACAGATTAAAAACACATGCAAAATGGTTTTTCATGTTTACATTTACTAAGCATGAATATTAGGTAGGAAATGTATATTAGCAGTGCAAAGAAATTACACTATAATTTCTTAGCTGGGAACTGAAAATTAACACCTATAAGATTTCCAAGCGTAATTAGCACTTAGCTAGGGTTATCTCGATCTAAGCTCAATCTGATGAAAATTTGCTATTGTGCACGTTGCAGGAGGATGAGAACCAGGTCAGTTTCGAAAAATTTCTTAGAAGCTCCATCTAGAAATGATGACTTGGACAATGAGAATGGTTGTGATCCAGTGGAGGACTTGGATGAGGAAGGAGCTTTGATCAAGGGAGCTTTGATGAGGAGGGACAGTTTGGACAAGGAGGAGGAGGGAGCTTTGATGAGGATTGATAGTTTGAATGTGGATAGGGACAGCTTGGACAATCTAGAGCTACTTGGTGGTCAAAAACTTAAGGACAAGGAGGAGAGCTTGGATGAGGCTTGGAAGAACTAGAGCTACTTGGTGATTTAGAGTTTGTTGAAGTGCCAAAAGCAGAGAGGGTGCTTATACAAATGAAACAATCTATGGATGCACAGAACTTCTTTATAAGGGTTGCTCTCCAGCCAATCAGAATTTTTTAAAGTGTATTATATGAGTTTTCCAATCCAAACTTGTTTTTTTCTCATGGTATATGCTTACTATGGGCTATCTCAAAAAAAAAATTAAGGTGGAAATCCATACATATCCACTTTAATCAAGCGAGAAAAACAGTACAGAAAATAAGTCAAAAACCACACTTGAGTTTTAGGTAACTAGGAACCAATAACATGCAATGGATTAAGGTATGCAAAATCAATTAAGAATTAATGAGTAGAGGTAGTTACTTGTAAAGAAGCTCTCCAAGCTCATAGTGCTAAGGGTTGTTTAACACTAGAATTTCCTCCCTAGGCTCAATAGTTGGCTTATAGTCTTGTTGAAGAGACTAAAAGATGTTGTTTGTTCTATATTCTTGCTACTTTTAATCCCTATTTAGAAAGGCTCTTTGAAATTTTATTTGCAACAAGTCCAACTTATTTGTTCATTTTCATTTTCTCCCTCTCCAATTTTTGTGCTTTTTTCACTACTATTACTTGTTTTGCCTTAAGTTGCCTTAATATTGCCTTCTCCTATCAACTCTTCTCATCAATCAATTTTTTAATTTCTTTTGCATAAGCTTTCTCAATTGTTATAGCTTCCCATTCAATTTTTCTTCTTGCATATTCTTCTACCTTGTCTTTCTTTGCTTTTTCCTCAATGTGAGTAATGTATTCTAGATTAGTGAGTGAAGTTTCATAGGGAATAGTGATGAATTTTTGCTTCTCTCTTGCATTTGGTTGCTGCTAAGTTTGAGTGGAGAATGGCATTGTAAGTTGAGTTATAAATTCTTCCATTGTTGGTCCATGAGCTTCTTCCATTGTATAGTTTATATCCACAACAACTATAACATTTAGCAATGGCTCCAAATCATCATTGTTATTGTCATCTACACTTCTATAAAATGTAAGTCTCTTTGTCTTCATCTTTTTAAAGGTTTTTACCTATGCCTTGTAAAGATGTAGCCATGTGAAATTCAGCATCTATAACATTTAGCATTCTTATTGAGACTTTTGTTAGAGTGCATCTATCAAATTTTGTCTTTATATACTAAATATAGATGGCTTTGAACATTGCTTTTAAAGGTTTAAAGCAGTACTCAATATAGATATTGCTTTTAAAGGTTTAAAGTAGCACATATCAAAAAGTTATATGTGATGTGAAGTATGAAGTAGTTGGACTTCCTGAGAGGTCATCCAACTTAATATTATTCAAACCTAAGGATGTTTAACCCCAAGTATCCTAATATTCTTAACCAATTGAAAAAAAGGGTGCACTTTTATTCATGGGCTCTTTCCTTTTGTAATTAAATTCCAACAAATTGTTTCTCAAGTTTTTCTTTTATAATCCTAATTTGAATGCCTTCTTCACAACCATGATTGCCTATCACAATATAAACTTGATTTGTTGGAGAGATGCCACTTGGGATGACTCTTACAAAGTGTTTGGGAAGTAGGTAAACCCATTATTTCTCATCTATACATTAACTTATACTTGCATGGATGCTCCAAACTCACACAACTCCAACCAGCCTACTACTCAATTATGCCCTTAGAATATATAGTGATTTGGAAGTTTTTGGCCATCCACAATAACAGCATAAATAACTGTCATTCTTTGACACTCATTTGGAATGACATTAAAAATTATGCACGCTTGTTTGTTGGATACCACATGATAGCCTTGATTTTTGTTTGATGCAAACATCCAATTTCATCAACATTAAACATTCAACTAGGTGAATAGTTCTTTTCCTCCATTAATGCTTGCCACCTTGCATAAAAAAGCTTAACAACTGTTGGTGTGATTGTAGATACTCAGACACATTTCAAAGACTGTGAAGAATGCAAGTTTAGTTGAGGATGATGCTTTTTAAATCCACACCACCAACCAAGAGTGAATTGTCCATTTATTTTCTTAGTGCCTTTGCTAACCAAGGATGCCAGTAAGATGCCCTAACTAGTTGTTTAATGTTGCATAATCCAATATATAATGGTGTCTTCTTCCTCATCTGTGAAGATTTTGTTGCTACCACCTTTTTGCCTTGTATTTTTGCCATTAAACCAATTGTGGAGTGTTGTATATAACACACCAAACTCTTAGGCAAATTTTCAAATTGATTTGGAGCCTTCTTCAACAATAGATATAGCTTTATCCATATCCACAGCCATCCAAAGGTTTTTAGCTTTCTTCTTTTTAAATGGGAGTTTATCATCAGAAAACAAGATAAGGAAAATGATGACTATAAGATAAATCAAGCTCAAGAGTGTCCTCTTTTATAGAAATGTTTCCTATATCCTTTAATAAAGATGTAAAAATTTCATACATAGGTACAACAAAAGTGCAAAAAATATTTTTCTGTGTTGTGGATTGACAAGCCACTCTTTGGCAAGCTAAAGTTGAGTGTGCTTATGGCTGAGTTGCTATATGAGTTGTCTTTGTTACTAAAAGTAAGGTTGTTACTAAAGTTTAATTTCACTTTTTGTTTGGTGCTTAGTAAGCACAATATATATCTAAAATCTACCACTGCAACAATAAATAATATATCATCGATGCTTTAGCACTCCACAGCACCACCAACATAATAAACTTCTCCCTTCTACAAAGATTAAGAGCTAAAACCTTTGAATGCAAAATTTTTTGTTTAATATTAATGGCCAATATTCTTTCATGATTATGCTATTCAAATTTCCCTCCTCAACAACCCCTCTTTAGTTAATTTATAATTTTTTTAAATCAATCACTATAAAGAGTCAATGACAAACATGCTACATTAAAAATATAGGTGTGTCACAAATTCTTTAGTGAAGTGGTGATTATTTAACAAGCATTTCTCGATCCTGATGTAAGCTTCTGAGTTTGGACTTCCCAGAATGTCACCCAGCCCAGTATTATTCAAACCCAAGGACATTTAACCTCAAATATCCCAAGACCTTTAACTGATTGGAAAAGGGGGTGCACTTTTATTCATGGGCCCTTTCTTTCTATATTTGAACCTCTATGGATCATCTCTCGAGTTGTTCCCTTTGGTTGCTTACAATCTACCATGCTTCCTTGCAAGTTCACACCCTCATGAATGGAAGCTGAGAGTCATAGCTCTCTCGAGAGCTGCACTCTCTTGACACCTTACCCCTCGGGTCGAGCCCAGCAGGAGTAAACTGAACCAACCAAATGTCAATTAACATATGGTGTGATTCCCTTAGCCAACCAACAGAGTTGGACCTGAGACCGCTCTAATACCAAATGTAAACTCATGAGTTTGGACTTCTCGGGAGGTCACTCAACCCAGTACTATTTAAACCCAAGGACGCTTAAATATCCCAAGACCCTTAACCGATTGGAAAAGGGGGTGCACTCTTATTTATGGGCCCTTTCCCTCTATATTTGAACTATTATGGATCATCTTTCAAGTCGTTCCTTTTGATTGCTTACACCTGAAAACATAGTGAGGAACTTATATATCAAAAGGAGATTCAAGTATGTAAACTATTGATTTAAAGGATTCATCTCCACTCTCATAGCTCAAATCATTAAAATCAACCAAGGAATCATCACTATACTCCAATAGTATAACAACTTGATCAAAGCATTATTAAAATGTGAGTTAATCAAGTGTAAAATAGGGATTTTTTTTAGTGTAGTTTTAGTCAATCTTTGTTTCTTGTGTAGTTGGATATAAATCTTTATAAGTTTTGTTGAGTATAACAAGAAATATTTAAAAATTTCCAGCTTATTGAACTAAGGTTTGAAGAGATCTAGGCTCTAGAATTATAAGAATAGGTAAATATGATTAGTAAAACTAATTAGTGCCACATCAACTGATTAAATGCTCAATCAGATAGAACATCAAATCGATTGGGGACCACCCCTCTTTAGTAGCTCAAAATGAGATACTTCAAAAGTTCTACAACGTCTCCATAGTAAAACTCTTTTCATAAATATTTGAGTTTTTTAAAGGAAATTGTTCATGATGTAGAAGCTTTAGTGATGTTGTCTTCCACTATCTTCCTTTTGGAGATAAAGTCAAGTTGCTCATGACAAGCATAGGGAATTATGGAGGAGTAAAGAGGAGTGGATTAGAGTAGCAATACCTACAAATATCAAATACTTTTGGCATGGAGCAAAGTTCAAAGAGGATTGAAATTTTAGGGATCATATTCATCTTCAAGGATTGTTCATTTCATATCGATTATAAATTTTTTGCTTTAGCTTTAGTGAGTAACT